TTTTTTTTTCAAGAATTAAGGTTTTCTTCTGTCAGCAGCACGGTCACCAACAAAATTCAGCAAAAAAATTCACCACAAACCCCCTAAAAAATGAACATTCAGCAACACAGCACACATGAACACGGTAAAAACAGCAGGAACAAAACACATCCGAACACAAAGGGGTGCAGACAAGTTGACTGTCCTCGGCCAGATCTTACCAGTCAGAGATGACGGGTTCTGTCATAGTTTTTTTTTTTTTTTTTAAATCACTTGAAAGCACTGTTTTGCTGTTTTGGTTAATTCATTAGAAACAGACGCGACCCAGCTGTAATTAGCATCTGTCCTCATCGTTAGCATGGCGGCGTCTGTGCACTAATGAAGGACTACTGCGATCAGCTACTTTGCTACGACACTGTTAGAGTTATAACATGTGTCAGACATTGTTATAACGAGGCCACTACAGCGGCATGTTCCCATCACATGTTTATGACGCTGTTAGCGCTGCATGCTAACATGCACAGTGGAAACACACAGAGGCTCGCCAGCAGCAACACATCATTTGAAATTCTGATTGGTTCACTGTGGAGTGAAGACACTGCCATACCTTAATACTGCTAATTATTGAGCTGTAATGGTTTGAGGACTGATTGTAAAGGTGTAAGGACTAGCTGTAGAGGTCTGACAACAAGCTAACGAGCTCTGGAATCAACTGTAGAGGTCTAAGGACCCATTATAGAGGTCTAGGAACTAGCTGTAGAGGTCTGGGGACTACTTGTAGATGTCTAGGGACTAGCTGTAGAGGTCTGGGGACTAGTTGTAGATGTCTAGGGACTAGCTGTAACGGTCTAGGGACTAGCTGTAGAGGTCTGACAACAAGCTAATGAGCTCTGGAATCAACTGTATAGGTCTAAGGACCATTTGTCGAGGTCTAAGGACTAGCTGTAGAGGTCTGAGGACTACTTGTGGAGGTCTAGAGACTAGCAGTAGACGTCTGAGGACTAGTTGTAGTTCTGACAAAAAGCCAATAAGGTCTGGAATCAACTGTATAGGTCTCAAGATTAGTTGTAGAGGTCTGAAGAGATGTAGAGGTCTGAGGACTAGTTGCAGAGGTCTAGGGAGTGGCTGTACAGGTCTAGGGACTAGATGTAGAGGTCTGAGGATGAGTTGTACAGGTCTGTGGAATACCTGTAGAGGTCTGAGAAGGTTGTAGAGATTTGAGGACCAGTTTTGGAGTTCTGGGAACTAGCTGTAGAGGTTTGAGGACTAGTTGTGAAGGGCGAGGGACTAGCTGTACAGGTATAGGGACTAGTTGTACAGGTCTAAGGACAAGCTGTAGTGGTCTGAGGACTAGTTGTAGAGGTCTGGAACTAACAATAAAGGTCTGAGGACTACGTGTAGAGGTCTAAAACTAGCTTTAAAGATCTGAGATCACAACATCCAGTGTCTGAATCAAGTCATCAATGAGCCAGATCAGTGTCAGCGAGCTGCAGGTGTGATTCAGATCATCACAGTCCAGTTTCTGTTTGCTGAGCCTCTGGTGTCCACTCACCACCGATTACCAGAAGAGTTTGCTGCGTCTTCCTGCACACTGCCTCTTGAATCGCTCCTGGTGCTGGCGTTCAGCAGGGAGTATGCAGGAGGAGGTGTCAAACACTGAAGCTTCCAGCAGGCTCAGGCCAGGAGGAGGTTTCCCTCCCCGGCTTCCTCACCTGGGATGACCGAGATGGTTTTGAGCGCTCGCAGCACCCTGAACGTCCTTAAGGCTGACACATTACCCAGGTCCACAAACTCAGTCACATATCTGCAACAAGCCGACAGAAGCACAACAGACACACACAGAAGGGTATGACCACCACGGCGACCAACACAGAGGGATAGAAAGATGGAGATCCAGCAGAGATACAGCAGAGAGGGGCTGGACGGAGCCAGCGCTCAGGAGGCGAAGTCAGACGGTCGAAGCTTCTCACCACGAGATGAACTGGAGACGAACGCAACTCAGCCACCGACCGACATCTTTGACCGCTAACATCCAGATTACTGACACTTTGTGGGTTAGCATCCAAATCACTGATATGTCGGCGTGTTCATGTCCACGTTTTTGTACATAAACATCCGGTTTATTGACAATTCTGTGTGTAATTATCGAGGGTTTTCATATGTTTGTTGGTAAACATCAGGTTTATTGACACTTTAGTGCATTAATACCCAACTTTTTAAAACCTAATGTGCATTAACATCCAGGTTTTTGACACTTTGTGGGTTAATATCCAGGTTATTGATGTCTTTGTGTGTTCATGTCCAAATTTTTGACACTTTTTTATCTGAATATTGAAATTATTGACATTTTTGTTAGAAAATATCCAAATTATTGACCCATTTGTACATTAATATCTACGTTTTTGACACGTTTATGCGTTAATATCCAGGTTATTGATGTCTTTGTGTGTTCATGTCCACGTTTTGGACACCTTTATGTGAGTAAATGTCCAGGTTACGGACAGTTTTTGGTCCGTCCAAGACTCCAAGAGAGAAGCCCCAGACTAAAGCACTCAGGACTATCAGGACCTGGATGACAGAAAATTGTCTAATTCACAAATTTGTTGTTTTTCTGTTTTGAACAAAAACAAAAGTATTTTCATGTGTTTTTATGCCACTAGTTTGTATCGGCTGGTTTAGAGTCCCTGAGCGTTTGGAGGGTAAATAGAGACTCTGAGCCATCGACTCGAGGACGCGTCGTTGCCGTTGGTTCTCCAGTCATCAAGCATGTGTTCAGTTTAAACAGATCTGACTTTTCCTTCTTTACTGGTTCGCTAACGCAGATCAGGTGACCTGTGAGCCCTGACTGGGCGGACTGGGAGGTGGGCTGGTGCTGCAAGACACGGCAGACATGGGACGGACAAGAGAGGACGTTCACGACGAAACCACTATGACGGGTGTTTGGTTTTTTTTTAGCTTGTTTTTTTTTGTGCCGTGTCGCCCCCTGGTGGTGGTGGTGAGGCCTTACCTGGGATCACTGAGATAGTTTTCAGGGCTCTCAGCACTCTAAAGGTTCTCAGCGCCTGCAGGTTCCCTACTTTGATAAACTCTGTTAACAGCCTGTAGGGGGCAGTGTGGTGGTTGTCAACATACAACAAAAGAAGACAAACACAAAAAAGTCTGAAAATGCTGCGGCGGGTTTAAAGTCCACTCCCAATTTGTGAGAGCGGCGACAGCGCACCAAACCCAAAGCAAACCGTTTGTTAGCGTCAGCGGACGTCTGGGAGGGTTTGTTTTGGGATGTGGTGGCGCTGTCGGCCGCTCTGACACGATCAGGAAGTTACAGATCTGGAAAGAAAAAGATATCAGAGAAAAAATGTTTAAACGTTCAGAGAAGATCAAATTTTCACCACAGACATTCTGAACATGGTGTGAGCCTGTGAGCGAGCGCGAATAACGTGATGACGGAGGAAAACCTGGAGCCAAAATGGAGAACGAGCCGCTAAAATGTCAGCCAGAGTCTGACTTTTGTTTTCTAGGCACAGAAATGCCCGATTAAAAGGAGAATGGGAGGGGAATGAATCGATTATACAACTGAAGTGATGGTTAAAGCTAGCTAAAGTTAGTCACAGCTAGCCTTCATTTAAGCTAAACGTGCTCTTTGTGCAACTACCTGCTTTCAATAAACTGAATTTAGTGCGTATGTTGGTGAAGTGCTCCATGATTGTGACTAAAATTGACTTTAACCATCTTAATGTTTTCAGTATTTTATATATTTAAGTTTAGAATTTCTTCTTGTCGTCCAGTTCGTCCTGTTTTTCATACGTTGTCAGGTTTCATCCTGGTTTCCTGCTTTTTTCCCACATATTTTTGTTTTCTAGTTACAAAAATACCCGATTTGAATGAAAACTGTGGAATAATAGTCAGCTAAGAGCTAGCTAAAGTTAGCCACAGTTAGCCTAACAAAGCTAAACGTGCCTTTATGCAGCTGGCTGCCTCCTGAAGTTGAATTTTGTATGTTTTTTGTGCCCTGCTTGGTGAACTAGTCTATCGCAAATAAATAAGTTGACTAATATGGCACATGTACTTTTAATTTAGTGATCTCGGTTGTTTAGTGAACATTTCAGTAGGTTACTGGTTACAACGTGGAGCTATTTGCTTCGCTTCCTTGCTGTTGCCTTCAAATTAAAACGTTAAACGTGCCCAAAAAGTTCTTTTAACTACCACTACTAACCACAAAAATCCCCAAATATAGCTAGCTTGCTAATGTTCATTAACAGGTGGCTAATTTAGCACTAGCTAATCATGCTAATTGCTAATTGGAGATGTAACTTAGCTCGGTTGGAGTTAGCTTAAGTTATTTTTATTTGGAATGTTGTCTTACAAGTCCTGTTTTTAGTATTTTAGAGTTATTTAATTTACAAGTTCCATAATACAACAAAATTCAATGTCAAGAAGCAGCCAGCTGCATAAAGGTATGTTTAGCTTTTTTTTAGGCTAACTGTGGCTAACTTTAGCAGGTTTTAACTTTAGCTTGTTTTTATTGCATATATCTTAGTTTTTCTCTGCTTAATCCTTCAACGTGCAGCTCTTTGGTCAACTCTGGCTGATTTAAAACGCTGAATTGGCTCCATTTGATTTCATTTGAACTGACATCTTAGCCCCCCAAAAAAACAAGACGTTGCCCAAATTTTTGCGACGCAAAGTAAAAAAATGTAAAAATCTGGCAGCGAGGTGCCAGAAAGTTTATCAAAAAGATAAACATTAAAAAACCATCAAAGAACGGCGACTGTATGCACCTCAAATACAGTATATAACTGGAGTTATTGATTTATTTACTGTAATTTAATGAAAAATAAATGAAAAAAGCCACTTGTGTGAGACAATAGCTACCAACTCTACATGAATATCACGGAGACTAACGGAAGAATAACTCGATAATTATGGTAGAATTTGATCCAAAGTTCAAAGAAAATCTATAATCTAACACGATAAAGTTCCAGCTGCCATAAAATATCGACTGTGAAACAGAAACTCAGCGTCGCCGTGATTTACCTCTTTGTTTTGTCAACTGAAAATCTGTAATTCAACAAAATATGAACCCAGTTACTATAAAATATATGCAAGAAAATCTGTTGTTTCCTCACAGTTGACGCGTAAATTAGCATAAATCAATAAATTAATGGTAAATTGTTGTTTGCTAATTCAGCTGTTTATGTCTAACTAATAGGAATTAAATCTGCAAATCTGTTCTTCGTGTCCAGACGTTAAACCGACGCCGGCTGCAGAACATTAAAGGTTAAAAGCTTCTCTTTAGATCCCATCAGAGCCGGAGAGGCGACGGCGGCCATTTTGGTTCCCCCCGGCTGGACGGAGTCATCCGAGCCGAGCCGCTAACGGCCTCCATTACGGCTCATATTTCAGCGGCGATGACTGTCGGCTGATTGGATTACCGCGGAGGAGGGCGGCGGGACGTTTACATGCAGGCAGAGATGACCAGTAGACAAAACCAGCGACGTACTGGGAGCAACAAGGAGCAGCTCCGTGTGTCAGACTTCACATTATGAGGGTTTCAATGCCTCCTGTGGAAGGAACTCGCTCGTTCTTGTTACCTGGTTTTAAATAAACGCACTGGGGTTAAAAATGCTAAAAAAATTACAGAAAGAGTGTCGTGGTGAAACCTGTCCGGAAGGCACGGCACATGTTGAAATCTGTAAAATCAGTCTGTGAAGCTTTTAGAGAGACGGACCGGTTCGGACCGAGCTGAGAGGAGACGGATGTTTGGGGACATCTGGAAAAATGTCAGACATGTTGATTCCTCTTTATTTAGATTTTTGCTCAAGAAACGTAGCCCCGGATTCTCTTATTTTGTCCCAATGAGTTCCTTCTCCTTCCTCATTGGGTTTCCTCAGAGCTGCAGGACTTAATGTTGGATAAACGTGAGCCACAGTGAAGAAAGATGAGGCCACGGTATGAAAACATAAGGCTAAAGTGGGGAAATATGAAACTACAGTGAGGAAAAATGAGCCCACATTGGGGCAAAATGAGGAAAAATGAAGCCATGGTAAGGTAAAATCAGCCCACAATGAGGCAAGATGAGGCTACAGTGAGAAAAAAATAAGGGCAGAGTGGGAAAAATGAGCCGACAGTGAGGTAAAATTAGCCCACAGTAAAGAAAGACGAGACCACAGTGAGGTAGAATGAGGCCACATTGGAGCAAAATGAGATCACGGTGAAGAAAAATGAGTCCATATTGGGACAATGTAAGGAAAAACGAGATTACAATGAGGAGAAATAAGGCCACAGTGAGGAAAACCAAGACCACAGTGAGGTAAAATGAGGCCATGGTAAGGTAAAACCAGCCCACAGTAATGAAAGACGAGACTACAGAGAGGAGAAATGAGGCCACATTGGAGCAAAATGAGGAAAAATGAGATTACAGTGAAGAAAACTGCAGCTCTGGTCTGGAAACATGAGCCCACATCGGAGCACAATGAGGCCTCGGAGAGGGAAAAACGAGACGACGAAGCAAAAATGTGTTGGTCCAGCTCACGGCTGGAAGACCTGGAGGACAGTTGGTACTTTAGCTAACAGTCGGTAGCAGCTAGCAGCTAACAGCTAACAGCTGTGCTAACAGCTAGCAGCTAGCAGCTCCGTTAGCGTCTCGTCTCTTTGCTTAGTTTACGCGATTTGTCGGCTGACCGATGAAGCGCTGGAGCTTGAACACCGGTCGGCGCCGCCACGCGTCATCACAGGAAGTCAGGGGTGGAGTGGGTTACCATGGCAACCCCGACTCGGCGGGAAGCGATAATGTGTGTGTGTGTG